ATCTAATCTTATACCTGAAAAAATCCGCGTGTAATGGCGTACAGCTTCACAATGATGACCGCGGATATACTGCAACATTTGGAAGTTATTCTGTAAAAACTTTCTGGCGGTCAAACTGACCCACCCCCAGCCAAGCACGTATCAACCAACTGCGTCACCGGTGTGGTCGGAACGAATACAAATATCCACTTGTGGCTAGCATAAAGATGTACTTCTTTTAGCTCTATGACATGTGTTCCGGTATTTTGGAATTCTTAATAATGTCTGTAAATAGTGCTACGTACGTACTACGCGCCCTCCTAACAATGAAAACTCCAGATTACACTGTTCGTACAGTACAGCACACCTTTTCTTCATCCGTCGTAGGTTCTGGATGGGAAAATTGACTTGTTTATAAAGGAACCTATTGCGCTATTTCTGTCTCCAATCATGAAACAGACAGACTCGTAACACCACGTGCAATCTTCGTCGTCCGAGTCGCTGCAAACACCGAGACGAAGAAGCTATGGAGTGCGACGTAATGAATAACGTCGATTGCATGGCTTCTTTGCTGTTCGGGCCCCTGCGAGCACAACCCTACAAGTGCACTACAAAGGGACATTCGTAGTACACCAAGAATGTTCTTTTCTACGTGACATCACGTATAAGTTTTGCCGGACATGTTCGCAGCGCGACGCGTTTTGTTGACATCTTCGTTACCTACGTGACAATAATTGTTCATGCAAGACGCTGGTAAATTTTTTGGTTTTAAGCATGCTCCTAACAGTGGGAGTCACAAATCATGACGTTTGAAACGTATAATATACCTTTCACCATCCGAGGCAGGTCTTGGCCACGCAAATTGACCTGTTGATAATCTGATTTGTTGCTCAATTTGCCTCACTTCAATCAAGTTCTTCGTGCCGTCACGTACGATCTTTGCCGACTGGGTCGCTGTGAAAGCCAAAAGGAGAAGCATCTATCAAGTATACAGGCATGAATCCTTTGCTGCAATGGGGCCGGCGCGCCTCCACACGCACATCATACGCAACGCTGGTGAAAATCGTTGACCCAGGAAGGTATTTCGTTCCTCTCCATTGCTGTGATGGTGCTGATAAATTCAGCTTTCCATTTTCTTCCCAAGCGGTTGTTACTCTGCACGTCTGGTCTGTCGTATGCTGACACGTTCTTGCAATAAATGTGAGCCTGTGTCGTCTTCTTCGTTGTGCCGTTCTCCAACCTTTTGTGTTTTCACCGCACGCTATCAGTAGGTTAACGTAACCTTTGCCGGACCAAATTGGTCAGATTTGACTTTCCCCTACGGAGTGCATGGCTCCAGGCCGAGCCAGGTATAGAAACTAATTTGCATGCATTGGCCTGAAAGTGACGAATGCACCTTTATGCGACCAGACAATGCAGCTGTCGGATGGGGCAATGCATTCTCCTGTGAGTCCTAAAATGACAAGGCCCTGACAAGGCGCAGGAAGACGGAACAATGCACAACCGCACTCCGGGGAGTATCCAGGGGCAACCGGGTTATGCCCCCCCCCCCCCCCACACACACACACTCAGGATAGATAACCTGAGACACATTTCCGCACCTTGAAAATCTAAGCTGTTTCGAATGAGGGAAGATTTCTGGACTTTGACGAAAATCTAAGCCATAAACCACAATCAAAGAGAATTTCTTTTGGAACACTCATTGGGGTAAAATAAACCGGAATCGTTTTATTTTTGCATCTCTTTGAGCTTCGACCTCCCAGGCTGAAAATGCCCCCTGGCGGCGATCCGGGTCCGTGCTTTAACGCCCTTACTACGCTGTACCCGCTACGCTACGAGCGCGACACGTTTTTTCTGCCCCAATCACAGACCGGTCCCACGTCTGCTAATGAGGATGTACAGTTAAACGATGGCACAAAGAGACTCCCCTCGCTGCCCTCTGTCTTAATCTGCTATCAGGGACATTGGAAGCGCGCTGAGGGGTCCGCGTGGTGACCATCTAACCCAACAAGCGTATTCACTGCCGGAATACCAGGGAAGAGCGGATCCAGCCATGCGTGCTTGAAATATTTTGGTCTGTTTTTTTAACGACGGGGGGGGGGGGGTTGAGAGGATGAGTCAAGACATTCTAACTTGCACGATTACGAGATCATGCCAAAAAGGCACCTGATAATCCACCCCAGAAATAAGGATGACCTGCCTTCCAATATTCCATAATGCTACCGCCCTGATTCTTTCTCGTCCCGTTGCCTCCGCCGCACAACAAAAGTTGCCGTGTGAAACTCTGCGGCACCATCCGTTTTCGGAGGACCGCCATGCGCACTCGAGATCGGAGTTCTCAGTAGCCTGGCGACTCATCCCGGCTCGTCGGCACACCACGTGTTTCCGGGTTTCCCGGTCCAGGCGAGTCATCCTGGGTGCGGGCGCATGAATCATAAACTGGGAATGTTCCCGCGCTCCACCGGTAACAAAATACACAACGAGGGCCTCAAGGTTACAACATTAATGGCTTCCGGAAGAGCTCATGTATCCATTTATCTCGCAGTCTTAAGTAAGTGCACCTTTTAATCTACCTCACAGAGAAATCTACTTAAGCGCATATATTAGAGATATCGACAGGCATCAGCAGATAATAGCCGCGCTCTCGCGGGACGTCTAACTACAGCTCAGCTGCCGTTTATAGCCGCTTTTCGAAGCGGGAAGTCCAAGCTTGTCCCCAGGGCGCGCCCTACCGTTACGGCGGCAGGTTGGTCGGTCGGGGTCCGCCGCAAGCCCCCGCAGGCGGGGCGCCGGACCGGCGCTGGGCGGCAGGCCGCGTTGTAGGCGAAAACTGCCACCCCTCCCGCTCCGCTCTCCCGCACCACCTGCTGTCCACTCTCTCCCCCTCTCTCTGGAGCAGTGAACGGAGCCACTCAACACATCCACCCGTTGGACTGCGATGAACGTGCCCGGCGACCGCCTGCGTCGCCTTGCACCGTGTGTAGACCGCCGTCGACCTGTGCTGCGCGTCCAGGCCCGCAGTGAGCAGCTGTGGCCGCGTGAGTAACGCCCTCGTGCGTGCGACTCCACACCTCATCTCGTCGTCGGTGATGCTCAGCAGCGAACACGCGGGGCGACTCTCGTCCGTTTATTGAGCTCCTACAATGCCGTTATTGTAATCTATAGTGCGGCTCGCCCCGGCAGCGAGCGGCTACGGACGTGGGGGGGGGGACGGTGAGGACAGCGCGCGCGGGGTCGGCCAGAATATGCGGGCTCTGGCCTGGTATGTTTGGGCGGCGGCGGAGGGCGAGATCGGAACATGGCGGGACGGCAACCCCCGTCGGCGTATTGCTGTCCCCTTGTGCGACTCCGTCGGATATGTGAGAGCGGTGCAGGGCGGCTGATATGACCGCCGGACGGGAGGCGGCTGACGGGTCAGGCGGGACCGGGGCACGGCACGGCCGCCGCTGCCGGGGCGCACGGACAACACGCGCGCCTCACCACAACCACAGCTAGTCGGAATAACACGCACACGACACGCATACGGACGCTATCGTTCAGGCGGCGAGCTACCAAGTTAACAACTGCCAGCTGGTTACAAAACGTAATCAAGTGAGACTAGCCTCCTAGCGGCGGCGGCGGAGCGGGTAGCGGCGTGACGAGGTCGGACAGCAGCAGAGCAGTGCGGGAGCACCAGCGCGGGCAGGCCGCGGCCGCAGCCGCGATTTCGTATCACTACAACTGAACATGATTGGACGGGGCGGCAGCGGCCGCCACCCGGCCTCCCGCACGCGCGGTGCCCGTGGCCGGCGCTGCTGACGACGAAATGACACCTCGCGGCGGATGATGCGGCGCCACCGCGCCAACACCACGTGGCACCGGGCGGGCACGCACACAAACACAACAAAACACCCATCTGGCAGTTTGCGCGTCACACCACGCGCGCGTTCGTCTCCAGCGGCGGGTAAGCGGAGCAGGCCGGAGCCGGCCGGAGCCGGAGCCGGAGCCGGAGCCGGAGCAGGACCCAGCCCCGGCCCCACGGACGCTACCCTCCGCGACGGGCACGGCCCGGAGCTCCGGTTCCGGCGAGCGGAGGCCACCCCATCCCGCACGAGGTGGCTCTACGTGGATCATTTGCACCAGCTATTTGCATCGCACCCAAGACGACACATCTCAAATTCGGCTACGTAATTCGCCCCTAAACGCATAGCGCACACTCCGTATTAAAACACGTCATCGATCATATAGAATGTTGCGATGGCGCGATTGCCTGGCCACATCTTTCTAACGCGATTCCACCAAAACTACCGTATCAAAACGTTTCGAATATCCCGTCTTTGGTTTGCCATGGGACTCGGCAGGGAGGAAGATACGCGGCGGTGCGATCACAAGCAATTGCATCACGCTTGCAGCACCTCTGTCGGGGTGGGACAAAACAGGACAGATAATTGTAAGAAAACAAAACACTCCGCGCAGGGCAGAACAGCGGGCAGTCGCTGGGCAGCCGGACGGGGCGGCGCAGCGGGCAGTCGCTGGGCGGCCGGGCGGGGCAGTACAACGGGCAGTCGCCGGGCACCCGGCGCGGCGGCGGCACCGCTCAGGCCCAGGATGAGACATCTGTCACGCATGGCAGGACGACACGCACTCGAGCAGCACTGTGCGGGTGGCCAGCCGGGCGGGCGGCTGGCCAGGCGGGGCGGCGAGGCCAGGCCGCCCGATCGGGACGGCCGCCGGACGCGGCCGGGAAGAGGGGAGTGACCTTAGAGCAGGACGACCACGCTGGATACCCGCGGCACGTGCCCGGACAGCGCTGCCGGCGGCGGGGCGGCCACGCGCGGACGGCCGCGTGCGGGACAGCCCCATGCAGGACGGCGCGGAATGGAAGATGGGCCGGCATCGACGCCGGCGCCAGCAAGCCGGCGCCGGCCGCACCGCCGCCGCGGCAGCGGCACGGCCCGCACCGGGTCGCATCGCCCATGTGCCTCAGGTGACTAGAACCGCCCGGCGCGCGCTGGCGGCAGCCGACCGTTGCCGCCACGCCGGTGAGTGGCGCGTCGAGGTCGGTCGCTGCCGGCGGACAGGCGGCGCCACCGTCGGCCCACGTCGGCGCGGCGGTGCCGCTCCACTATGTACAAATTGTCCCCTAGTCGCGCTGGCAGGCGGCGCCGGCTCGGCGTGTCGCCAGCAGACGGCGGCGGCGGCGGCGGAGGCGGTGGCGGCGCTCAGGCGAAGTACATGACCTGGTTGGTGTCCTGGTGGACGGTGACGGCGCGTGCCATGGCCGAAGGCGTGCGGTCGTCCGAGTTGCCCGACAGGTGCGAACCCTCGCCCGAGCACGACGAATGGTAGGTCGGGTCGCTGGAATGGCATGCCATGGGTGAGTCATGCATCAGACGCCGGCAGTCCCGCTTCTCCACGTGTAATGCACTTGAATATTGCAGACAAGCCCGCGTCACGTCGTAAGGAGACTGAAGCATGCATAATTCCAAACGGTAAGTCGCGCTTAAGCCCACCCAACACTAGTTTTCGGAACTTCTACCTCCGCAGCCCAACTATTCCTTCCCAAGAAATGCCCTCTGCCTTACTGTGTCCATCCTCGCAACGACTTGCACTTCCAGCGTCGATCCCACCTCACCACACTACTCACCCAGTCTCACTACGAATTATGACAAATGTCGGTATGCTTCAACCCTAGCACAGACAACACGCAGCGTCAGCACGGTGTCCTGCCCGCTGTCAGAGCCGGCCCGGCGTCCGGAAGAGCGGCGCTCACCTGTCGTGCTCCTTCTCCACCAGGTGATAGCGGGCGCGGAAGGCCACCAGGTGGGCGTAGTACGCCGGCGCCGGGATGCTGACGGAGCGGGTGCAGCGCACGTACGTGTGGCACAGCTGGTAGGTCAGCTGCTGAAGCTCATCCGAGTCGAACCGGTTGTCGTCCCAGAGCACGTGGTAGTGGCTGGGACGGGACGTGCCCTACCGACGACGGGCCGGGTCAGCTCGGCTCAGCTCAGCTCAGCTCAGCTCAGGTCAGGTCAGGTCAGGTCAGGTCAGCTCAGATCAGGTTAGCTCAGCTCAAATCAGGTCAGGCAAGGTCAGGTCAGTCAGGTTAGCACAACTCACCAGTCTCCACTGCCGGGCCGCAGAGCCGCAGCCGACTCACAAGTTGCGCCCCGCCGCACCCCACTACACGGGAAGGCAGCGCTACGTCCTGGAACGCGACTGGCCGGCCGTTCCGACTGGGTGGGAGGGCTGCGACAGACACAACGCAAACCCGCGGTCCCCAGCCCAGACGACGCCGCGGACGCCCGAGGACAGCCACGCGGCGGCGGCACCAGGACGAGTGGCGGGACCCACCTGGATGCCCTGGTGAGAGCAGAGGTAGAAGTCGAACTCGGTCGGGTGCGTGATCTGCGAGTCGACGGTGGTGCCGGCCGGAATGTTGCCGCTCTTGCCGCTCTGCTCCTTCTTGTCGGAGCAGAAGAGGCGCGTGTGGTGGCGCTTCTGCACCACGATGAACGTGATGCCCGGCATGTAGTCCACCTCCAGCTTGACGCAAGCCTCGCGGATGGCGGCCAGCTCGTGCTGCAGCACCGGCTGGAACTGGCCCTCGGACACGCCGTCCCGGTACATGATAATCCGGTTGGGCTTGAAGTGGGTCGACTTGTAGAACTGGATGAGCAGCTCGCGAACCATGTAGCTCAGCTCCTGGATGATCTCCTGCGGGCGGCGACGGACATCAGACACTGCGGTGGCTGCGGACTGCACCGCCGTCAGCGCGCGCCACAATACTACCCAAGGCCGCGTGGTCTGCACACAGGACACGCACGGTCTGACCAGCACACTATCGAGGACTGCAGACACCAAAGTAACGCCTTCAATGGGGTATTGTTCCGTCAAAATACCCCGCTCCGATCGAGCAGCAAATAGCAACGCCTCCAGGCGACTGACGGCACCTGAGTCTGGACCCTCTCCGCCTGCGGGGTGAGCAGCAGGGCGTGACGCCCTCACCTGCCCGCCGTCCGCAGGGGCGGCGGGGCGCCGGACTGACCTGGCGGTGCTGCTGGACGCGCACGGTGGCCGCGTACCGGGACGGGTGGCCGTCCATCGAGCCGACCACGGCCGCGATCGACGGCTTCTTGTTGTCGCCGGCCGGCGGGTGCGTCACGTCCGCGCCCAGGAAGATCACCGGCTCGTTGAACACCTGCCGACGCGAATGCGGGACGTCACACGCGCCGGCGCGCCGCGCTAGCGCCACCGAGCTTACCAAAGCATACAGCCGATGAGCATACACTGCCGGCCGTGGGAGGAGACCAGCGCCGGGCCAAAACGGCCAGCCACGCCACCCAACGCATCCGCTCACGCAAAGGTATGCCAGACGGACATCAGCCGGCCCGGTAGCTGACCTTGGGCCGGATGCTGGGCACCAGGATGCTGTTGACGCCGCCCAGCTTGACGTTGATCTTGAGGCAGAGGTTGGAGAGCGTCTGCGGAGACGTCTTGTTCACGTTTTTGGCCTGCACGCACTGAGTGGCGATGCCGAGCACCGTGTCGCCGACGCGCTTCACTTCGGCTGCAACGGAGCGCGCTGTGAGCCGACGCCGATGCTCCGCAGGCACGACACACGCAGCCTAGCGACCCCAGCGGCACCGCGCCGCCAGGCCAACACAGACGACACCACCACACACCACACCACGACAGCTGGCGGCAGACGATGGCATACGTCCAACGGCAGACGATGAAAGATGTCTAACGGCAGGCAATGACATACATCTGACGGCAGACGATGACAGACGTCTAACGGCAGGCAATGACATACGTCCGACGGCAGACGATGACAGACGTCCGACGGCAGACGATGACAGACGTCCGACGGCAGACGATGCCAAACGTCATCCATGACGTCCGGCCAGCCGCTGGACGGGAAGGCACGACCGCCGAGCGGCGCGGCAGTGCGGCCACCACAATCGTCAGGCGGCCCGGACGCCCGGGCGTCGGCGCGTCGCCGCCTCGTCCGTCGCACCCCGCGGCGCCGCCTGAACGCCCAGCGGGCGCCAGCCACCGCGAGGCACGACACACGCCGCCAACTCAGGGGAGGTGGGGCCACCGCACTCACCATAGACGGGAGTCTTGCCGGGCAGCACCACCACCACCAGCTGCAGGCCCTGGAAGTTGCCCTTGAGGTAGCTAAACATGGGCTGCACCTGGTCGGGCCCGGTGGCGTACTTGCAGAAGCACGGCTGCAGACGAAACAGGCCGCCCAATGTCACCCACGAGCAGGACAGTCACGTGGTCGAAAGAGGCGCGGATGCAGGGTGACAGCGGAGCGGACCACAAGTGCACATACTGCACCTTCACGAAAACAACACCAGCACCGACAGACCTAAGCGGTGCACGAGCCGAAGCGAAACGCCCGGTCACCGGATGATATCGCTCACCGCGTCCGCAGAGACTGCACAGACCGTCCCGCATCTTTCCTCAAGCCGCGCTCCACCAAGACGGGCCGGGCCCGAGTCCAGCCGTCTCCCGCTCCGACTCCACCCCCAGCCGCTGCCGAAGACCTCGGAGGTCGGATCTCACCTGTCCGATGATGGGCATGCCGGCGTCGGTGGAGATCTTCTGCAGCTGCTGCGTGAAGTTGCGCAGCGCGTCCTCGCGCACGGTGCGCTGAGGCGCGAAGCAGGCGATGGCCCAGACGCGGATCTCGACGCCGCTGTAGAACTGCTTGCCGCGCATGTCCCAGACGCCGGCGTTCGGCACCGCCTGCTGTTTCGTCTGCGGCCCGGGGAGAGCATGGTCAGAGGACACATCCGGGCACGGGCAGACACACGGGTCCGGAGGCATCCGCGGGTCCAGTGACACCACCGGAGTTGGCAAATACCGCTCTACCAAACGCCGCAGGCCACGGTCGTGAATCTTCACCCGTTCATCATGCAGGGCTCATGCTGCCGTCCAAAGGCAACATCCCATATGTTCGTTTCTAGCCCTTTTGCGTTCTTTATGTCATCTGACTCGCCTTCTCATGCTGCATTCGGACATTAAAACCAATAGTTGAAATTTTCAGACTTTTAGCTAAAAGAATGGGCTAGAAGTTCATGAAAACTTCAGCTGATTGCTTACATAAACGAAATCAGTACGAGTAGATGAATCAGGTGACATAAAAAGTGCAAAATGACCAAAAATTAACATATGGAGTTTTACCTGTGGACGGCAGCACAGCCCTCCCATCTGCCAACAGGTCTGAACAATGCAGTCGCAATACCATAACACAGCGTGCAACAGAGCTGGCCGCTCAGCTTCACGCGCCTCAAACTGCCGACCTCCGCTTCAGGCCAGCAGGACCAGGCCGGGCAGTGCGCAGCCGCCGGTCCAGCTGACAAAGCCAGACAGCGACACCCGCCTCCCGGCCACTCACCCGTCCGCCGTACTGGACGCAGTCACCGGTCCAGTTGACAAAGCCAGACAGCGACACCCGCCTCCCAGCCACTCACCCGTCCGCCGTACTGCAGCCGGGGTGGGGGCAGCACGCGGCCGCGCACGTCCATCATCTTCTGCTCGATGTTGAGGCCGAACTCCTGCACGTACGGGTCCGTGTTGAAGTCGGCCCACACCTTGCGGATGAGCGTGTTGATCTCGCGCTCGCGATCCGGCGCCGAGCGCGCCGTCGCCTTGATCATGGTGGACGTTTGCATGTCGGTCAGCTTCTTGATGCAGCGCTGGCCGGCCACAATGGTGCACACCTACCGGAAAAAGAGAAAATGGAGGAAAACGTGAGGGAGGTGCGGGTCACACGGCGGTGGACGGCGCCGGCCTCAGCTCACGTGAAAAGACGAGTCTCGACAACCGCAGTGCAGTGAGGCATTCAAGGGCCCATCGTGGGATCGGGCAGCCACACATCACCCTGTAACCCAACAGAGGTCCGTCACAGCCGATCTCAGCTATGTGAACACGAATCACATTGTACCTGCACAGGGTCATGCCCAGAAGTGAGCTGTTACAGACCGTTCCGACAGGGATGAGCTGGGGGTAGGGAGGTCGACCAGGGATCGGCTGGGGGCAGGGAGGTCGATAGGGATCAGCCAGGGGCGGGGAGGTCGACCAGAGATCAGCTGGGGGCGGGGAGGTCGACAGGGATCAGCTGGGGGCAGGGAGGTCGACAGGGATCGGCCAGGGGCGGGGAGGTCGACCAGAGATCAGCTGGGGGCGGGGAGGTCGACAGGGGTCAGCTGGGGGCGGGGAGGTCGACCAGAGATCAGCTGGGGGGCGGGGAGGTCGACAGGAATCAGCTGGGGGCGGGGAGGTCGACAGTGATCAGCTGGGGATGGGGAGGTCGACAGGGAGCCTGACCTGCCATCCTTGTGTGACTGACCTCGAGTGGCAGGTAAGTGTGCTTGTGCTCCTGGCCGACTTGAAGACAGGGCAGGTGCGGGAAGCGCAGCTTCATCCTATATTTGTCCAGGAAGTACTTGGCCACTGTGCACTCCACCGTCTGGCCGTTGTCCAGCTGCAGCGGGAAACTGAAGACGCGCAAACATTCGCCGTCACCAACGCCTCGTGTGGGCAACACCAATGCCATTCACCGCAAAAGAAACGGAAGTCAGGAGAGTAGAGTCGCACAAAACACGCCCGTTGCCCGGTTGAAAATAGCCACACACATATGGCCGGTGTTTCAAAACAGCTGCACCATCATGGCTAAGCAGTCACTTATTGTCGGCTGTTTAACACCCACGCCTGCGGCTAACAGTAGGCTCTCCGCGATCGGGCTGGACACCTTCACCTTCATGCCCGCACGCCTTCACAGCGTGGGGGCATCCACGGAGAAGGCCGTGATCAGCTCGACTCACGACTGCATCTGCGCCGGCCGGCGCGTGACGTTGCAGACGCGATACTTGCGCCGCATGGTGCCGCAGTGCGTGATCTCGATCTTCAGCCCCTTGATCTCCTTGGTGAACTTGACACGCTGCGAGTCGGTGAGCGGCTTGCGCTGTTCGCTGACCTCGCGGATGTCCAGCACCTCGCACATGAACTCGATCACCGCCTGAGACTTGTAGAAGGCCGTGGCCGACACTGCGGCCGGAGAGGGGACGGTCAGCGCCCGCGCGCCAGGCTTACGCAGACAGGGGCCGACTGGAGCGACGCAGACGGCTCACCATGGCCTGGCTATCACGGAACTTATAACCCAGCACACACAGATGCTTGGCTAGCTCCCGGCAATGCTGCACGCGCTTGGGGCGACTTCACACTTACACATTGTGCGCCGAAATTGTGGTGATGGATGCGAGTCACATGATCAAATGCAGTCGGCGTACCCCAAAACCAAAATCATCATCATTACTTTTGGTGATGAGACGAAGCGACAAGATTCATCATTACAGGGAACCTAGGATACGCAAATGCCTGGTGTAAAATCTCTTTCTCTTGGAAATCACCGCCTGATAAATGCAGCACATAACTGCGTTCACTTCCGACCCCAACCAAACCAAAAATGCCCCCTCCCCCGACACAGCAAGTATTGGTACTGTGCCCTAGTAAATCTTAGGCACACTTGTAACCAAAAGCAAGTCCAATTACATGCTCTGGCTGCGGTCCCGTCGACAGACTGGCTAATAATCCCAGACATTCGAGCGACTTTTTAAGGCATCACGCACCAAGATGCCTGGTCACCGTGGACGAGAGGAGTGTGTGTGTGTGTGTGTGGAGGGGGACGGGGGGGGGGGGGGGCATGCACCACGGGAGGCCGCACAGCAATGGCCAGCCACCCACCATCAATGTTGAGCATCATCTTCCACTGGCTGGGCCGGACCGACTGGTGGAAGCCGAACCAGACCTCGCGGCCGCCGCCCAGCGGGTGGTAGTAGCCCTCGGGCGCCGAGAAGAACGAGCGGCCCACCGGCGTGTACTTCATGGACGGCAGGTGGCGCATGACCACGTCCAGCGCCTGCACGGCGTCGTAGGGGATGGCGCGCTGGCGGCCCTCCAGCGCCTCCTCCAGCTGATACAGCGACACCTGCGCTTTCCAGCGGATCGACACATGGAAGACGCGGTCCTTGCCCTCGCCGGGCAGCGTCACCTCCAGGTCCACCTTCTCCTTGCCGATAGGCAGGGGGTCGCGCGTGTACATGTTGCTCCGGCCGTCGAACACCGGCTTCATCGTGCTGAAGATCTTGGCGTACGCCTTCACCATCGTCTCGATGATCTCTCTGCGCGCGGAAGCGACAGTACCAAGCGTAAGGACATGCCGGTACCTTTCTTCAGAAGTTGAGAGTAATGCACGAATCACCAGAACGCATGGCATTCTGGCAGACACAACTAGGACCAGAACACAGCTACAAAACGTGTCGCTAGAAATCTCGCCAATACCCAGTGAGACGAACGCGAGCAACTTTCCAGAAGTGCACATGTTGTCCTCAATGGGCCATTTCACCCACCTGTTGACCTTGCGGGGGCATTTGTCCGGCTGGATGCTGACGTCGTAGTGGTGCACGAAGCCGCGCGGCATGGTGATCTGGAAGTGGTTCGCTCGCAGCTGGATGCCGCGGCCCTCGCGGCCCAGGTTTGGCCGTCGCGGCGCCGTGAAAGCTGCCGCAAACACCGGGCCGGTGTCAGGGTCACGGCACGCGGTCCGTCCAACCCGCCCGACCGTCCATGGGCATCGTCAGGTGTCACAAGAAAGGTGACGCTCCCAGGCATAACAGCAGCCAAAATCTGCTCTTTCTTGTATCCACATTCGAGATTGACAGGAATTGTTTAGCCTTCTTCTCAACGCAGTAGTATCAAAAGAAGTAATAGTAGCTTTGTCCCTTGAAGCAAACCTTCTTCCCGCGGTCCCAACATTCCATCCCTTACGTAAGGGTTCCACGTAAATAACAATCTATCCAAACAATCAGCAGCGCATGGCCTTCCAATGCATACAACATTCCAATACACCCGGCTCGCTCAGCGGACACTGGCCGTGAAGCGTGCACCGATCGTCGCAAACATCGCCCGCCTGCGTCCTGGGCACGCGAGCGGACGTCGGCGGGGGCGCCGCGCGGCGTGCCCACTCACTGGGCACATCGGAGGCGAGCGCCGGAACGGGGGCGGCGACGGCGGCCGGCGGACCGGCCGGCTGCAGCAGCGCGACGGTGGTGAGGCCGGCCGGCGGCGCCACCGCGCCCGGCACGGCCGGCGGCGCCGCGCCCGGCTGCCCGGCTGCGAACGCCAGCAGACGACGTCAGGCACCGCGTGCGGCCGGAGACAGGAGCACCGCGCCACCGGCACACAACGCATGTGACGGTCGGAAGTGATGACAGCTAGCGGGACGAACACGGCTGCTAGGTACTAAATATGGGGGCCAGATAATGTACACTGCTACTGGGCGTCCTCAAGAAACATCAACGTGTGCCTGCGCGCAGCATGCAGTTGACAGGACCAGCTGTTACATGTGCAGCTGTTGGGTGCTCTACACAGCTGTCAGACACAATTAGAGCAGTCAAGCACCAGCCGAGCTGTCAGGCATTATTGACAGCCACCAGATGCCACATAAACTGCCAACATGACTGTCAATGTCAGCATGGCGTGGTAGAATTAAAGGGACTATGCTTTCTACGGAAGTGTTCCATGCAGCTTTCCAAAGCGACATAGGGACTGCGACTCTTTGTTTTCCGTTTGGGCGCGTCAACGAGGTAATTTGCCACAAAAATGTGGTCCCTAGGTAAAAACCTGTGATCCCTAGGCGTATTTGGGTGCCTAATGGGTGCAAGACAACAGCAATATTGCTACTTTCCCATCACTGACCACATTATTACTGCCATGGCCAAAACCAATGAGACATTTTATAGGACACCCAGAGTGCTCATCTCCCATGAAGGGCGAACTCTTTGAAGCATTATTTCACTGCATTGAGTAAGCTCCTGTAAAAAGGACATCATGCCAATCAGGACCCTGGAGATGCTGCAACTTCAACACAAATGATCATTAAAGGGCGTGCTCCACATTTGAAGATATTGTGGCGAGTATCAGATATGACAGGGAAAGCCCGTTTGCAACTCTTACTATACTTTTAAGTGCAAAGACTGCTCTAGCTAACAAAAATTACTATTACGTAAACGTTACTACACGTCATCGTTGGATTACGTCACGGCACGCCCCCACAGTGCCAGAGTAGCTGCTTGACTGGCTGTGTCAGAACTGCCACTGTGGTGAACGGGCACCTGTAGTATTTCAACTTGCCGCAAGATGGTTTGTTAACTTTTACGCGCGTCATAAATACGACGATCGTTATGTACGCGTGTTTATAACCCTTTCTTGGGATGCTTTTGAATATTTGCCCGCGGTTTTACAGTTTTAACTTGCATTTGGGTTCTAAATTACGGCGCTAGCCTTAAGCCTCGCCCTGATGGGGGGGGGGGGGGGGCAATCGACCCCAAGGATTTTCTGAGGATATCTCTGTGGCATATTGCGCAATCATGCCCAAATTTTCAGCAGGCTATTTGATATCCATTGCGCGCATTTTGACACCAAAAAGTGTCCCTACCCCCTCACCCCCCCCCCCCCCCCCCCCAGCATTTACGGTTTCGGAGCAGCAGCGGGTTTTAAGGAGCACTGCTCGGCCATCTACGGCCGGCGCGGACGGCGGACGGCAACCGACGATTCCACGGATCGCGAGCTTTCTTTGAGATCAATCCACTGGCGTTTATCGCTTGGCTCTATCTTTGTTAGTTTTGTCAATGGCAGGGGAGTCGCATCACAGGTCGCAGAGAGTCGCATCGCAGGTCGCAATCGCAAAACGAGGGCTGTTACGTCCTTGCCAGTCTCTCGCCCGCCAAAACTAACAGGACTGTCCAATTGCCTGCATTACATATCACAAAATGCGGCTCGTGATTGAAACCTGCTGTCAACACACTATGCTGGTTGAAAGTCAACTCCTGTCTGCTGATGCAGTAACTCATGCTGAAGTACTCCATCCAGGAATCAGTCAATTGGTATATTTTGTCTTGAATGCCGCATGTCCAATGAGAATATGGAGTTTGTATGCCCTCTCTGACACATATGTCTTGGGGGGACTTCAAAACAGGCAACACCATAAGTCCACACAAGTTTGCGAGTGTGTAGCTCAGGATAGGGGATTTAAAAAAGACAATTGAGAATTGAGAACTACAGGGAATTGCCTTGAAAATGACCATCTCAGATGAAAACTCCATACAAATGTGGAGCAATCTATTTACAGACAAACCAACCATTTTCAACTCTTCCAGCTATGGTGGGCCAGAATTATCTGGTCACTTTGCAGAACAGCAATATTATGTGCGGAAGGTGTGCCTCCACCCACTGGGTCTAGAATCCTGATCTCTGAAATACTGGTCTGAGGAGCATGCCAGCCAATGTCAGTCCCCTGTTGTACAAAACTAAAAGTATTTTTGTGAATAACATCAACTGAAATTATTCCTGTGGGGCTGTGCACAATAAAACATCTTATTCTAGCAAACAAAGCAGTCCATCATGCATGATTTAACCAATATAGATGACATTGACCACCATATGTACAATCACCTTACTGACGCAGGGCTAACTAATCTTGTAAAACAGCTTTCAAATAAATCTATTTTATTAAAGAGCATAGAACATAGAGCACCATCCAACTACTTCATTATGCTGTTTTTATTGTGCATATTCAAGCCTACAAATAAAAGCATGCTGGTACATGACATACCAAGTGTTCAGCAGGATGACAATTGACTCTTGCAAAACAGATCAGACTCAACAATGCCTGCATGCTTCTAACATCAATGATGAAGTTACATATACCACACACACAAAGCAGTCCATAATGTCTTATTTTTAAATCTTCCATTTGCAGTGACATTTCTGGCCATGTCCCCCTTCATGGTCACACACTTAACCACAAAGAGAAACACTTTTTGACAATGTGTCCCCAAAAGAATGCAGCCAAATCAACCTGCTCAGAGCTAAGTAATCATCCTCCTGAGAATGTAAATGTTAATTGATTTTATAAGGACTGTTCAAACCATTTCAAAGCATGCAATATGTTATACCCTCCTAGTGGTGATAAGGTTAGAATTTCAGCTTTAGTACACTGTGTGAGATAATGTGAGTTTAGCACTCATCACCCAAAACAGATCTGATCCCTATCTAGCAAAACAAAATCCTATCTGGCAACAAATACCTCCTTAAGTTACATTTCCTCAACAATCAAATGAACTTTACAAATGAACAAATCATTTGTGATTGATGAACAATCACTTTACAATGAACAAATGAACAAATCAACAATCAAATGAACTTGAAGATACATTTCCCCAACAATCAAATTGAACTCAACAAACAAATGAAACCATGCATAACACCATGGCCATGTGCCTAGCAAGCACCTAAAGATCCTGGGTAACATCTGGATGAAAAGCTTATATCATAACCTGATCTATATGCAGACAGTTAGTTTCTGCCCTATACATCTCAAAGTTCCTGCAATTATTTTTGGACAAGACTTCTCAGCAAAGCCATTAAAAATCAATTGGTCTTTTACTTCCACAGCATTGGCCTGAGCTTTCATGCACAAAGTGTGCAAAAACAATTGTCTTGCCCTTACCCTAATGTTTGCGGGATTGCATGACAAAACACAATGCAAATGTCCTTTTTCAGACCAGTACCTCAACAAAACTCCTTTAGAATTAGGAATAATAAGTTGGTCAAGATGGCCCATACTTCTTAGATCAACTAAGCCTTAACAAACCATGAAAAACATTTGCTACAGCATATACTATGTCATCTAGGAATGCAATCATTCATTATTACAATGCTGCCAGTAAAAGGTGGCTGGCCAGTCAACCTGATATTTGGGGCAGGGCTGATCATTTTATCACAAGTGCAAATTATTTGGTAACTGGGGTGATGGCAGGTTGGGTGGGCTGGGGATGGGTGGGGAGGAAGGGTGATCTCAATAATTTTTGTTTTCTGCTGATCTCATTTGAACCTACTAACTGTTGTCCTCACTGCTAGGTTCAGGGCAGATATGAGTCACAATCACCCTACATTTTTCATTCAACACTTTGCATAAAATCTCACATTACCAATATCATACTATCAAATTAACACCAGCTAAAAATGCATCAACAACTTTGAAAAGTAAATTATAAAATATTCTGGTCTTAAAACTACCCCACTGACACTAGGAGATGTGGCATGCAGTTGTTTATAGCTAATTAACACATGTAGCTCAAGGAGAGGAAGCTGGCACGAGCAAAATATTACTTGCTTGCCAAAATGCCTTTTATTTTGAGCATCAATTTAAGTGGTGAACCTCTGGCCATAACAGATTACATGAGCAGTGGCATAGAAGACCAAACAGAATAATGTGACAGTAGTAAAGACATCCATGATACATTTTGGCCAAAGGTGCCATTTGGTCTTTAGGCTGTCCCTGACTTCAAAACTTGCTACTCTTGTTTTATTACACACCATTGTGTTTTCCAGATCTACCCCTGCCTAATAACCATCCCATAGAGTCACAATATTCCCACCCCAAATTGAGCTGTCCCAACTGAGGTGTGCCTGCCCCAATCTGATATTGTTGTCTACCATGTTTTGCAGAACAGATTAAAATGGTTTAACATGTGCTTCAACTTAATTACATTGAGAGCTACTGACACCATTGTTTCTTACTGTCATATTGATGGTCAATGAGAGTGCAAATATTTTTAGAAAATACATGCAGTATTTTACATACATGCATATACAGAATATACAGCATCCGTCATAGGGAAAATATACAGTACAGATAGATAGGTATCAGCACCTATACTCTGTGCTTCATGTGAACAAGTTACAAACATTCCATGACAATTTGTACACTTGGGACTGCATTTCACATGAGAAGCTTATTCTTACCAAGGCAACCAACAGTGGTACATTTATTACAAAAACTGGCATGCCTTGTGGCTGTGACCTACTTTGATCCAAGACTTGACATCTCAAAAACAAAAATATTGCATATTAATCAGACACCCTCACATTGTGCATGCAATTAGGTTGCTTTCCTGAAATCTTGAGCCAGAAAATGATTCGAAGCTAGGCGTGTACGTGCACTCGTTTAGCGATGTCCTACTTTTTTCGACGTAACGCAA